GGGGGGGGGGGGTGTATTTACAACGGAGTCGGGGAGACTCTACTTTGTGCCCACGGTATAAACGACATTGACCTCGCGGTTAGTCCGCGACTTGCGAAACGGTTGTGATCGATAATATGCACGCGCGGAGTGATAACTATTCTACCGACCCGGATTGCTCGCCCCTCCGCAGCGCAATGCGGCCGTTTTTTTTTTTTTTTTTTTTTTTTTAATAAAAAGCGGCCAAGAGTGTCCCTCTCTCTTTCTCTCTCTCGCTCTCACACGTTTCTCGTCTCGGATGCGAGAGAGACCATCGATTAATAAACACTACGGGGGGGAGGGATCGCGTTAGCACGCGAATCACTCTCAGAGTGCAGCCGTTCGAGCCAATCGCGAAAAATCTCCTCGCGAATCCCAACAGCGATTATCGCGTGGAGAGAGCCCTCTTCTGCCTTTTCCTCTTTTTTCCATTTGCGAATTGTCTCCGAGCATTTTACGACGGATATTTACAGGCTACCGGCGCTCTCGCGCGATTCCCGAGACCTTAATTCACTTTTTATTAGCGGAAAACTAGCGTTTGGTGCGGAAACGTTAATGCCTTACGGCGATGCTTCTCTTTCTCTCTCTCTCTCTCTCTCTGTTTTTTTTATTTATTGCTTTTAGTTGCGAAGCGCTTTTTATGTGAAAACGAAATTTTGCGGAGAACCCGATATTTACACAAAATGCGGAAGTTCACCCGGTAATTGAACTTGTCCTATCCAATGCTACTGTTGTAACGCGGCCTGAAGAGAGAATTAAAGCGCAGCGCTTTCTCTTTCTGTCCCTTTTTTGTTTCCGCGATAATTCGCTTCGGACAATAACGCGGCTGTTCCCGCGAGCCGTCGGTGCGATGTTCGCGAAAAATGCTCGGAGAATTGAGGTGGACGGCTCCCTTCCTTCCCCTCGAGTTCGAGAAGTCGCGCATACATCCGCGATAACCGCGATCGGGAAATTCGCAAACGGATATCTTTACGATAATCCCTGGACTGCACGTGTTATCCGTGGGTCGCAGCTCTTCCGCGTTCCTCTCGCGCGAATCCGGAACCTCGTTGATCGCGAAACCGAACCGCGATCGCCGAGTTCTTCCCGTTCGCCACGAGAAGGGGACGTGTCGCCTGTTTCTCTTTTCTCTCTTTCTGTCTTCTCTTTTCCTTTACCTAGCATAGGAATTAATCGCTCGATAGATTAGCAGCTTGAAAATACTTTAAGCAGTTTAAGGATGAATATTGCTTTCTCAATAAGGCTCCGCTATGCTTTACACGAATGTACAGTGTGTGTGTGCGTGAAAGTGTATGCGTGACTGTTATATTGCGTGTGTGTAAATGAAAAAGAAATTTCAGCTCGTGTAACTGAAAACTGGGACCAGACAAAAAACTCGCTGACGAGAGGTAATATCTCTGTTACCGCGACCGAAAACACTCATCTGAACATTCAGTTGCAGCATTAAAAACTCGGTTAAAACGACTGAGAGCAATTGGCTGGGCGGAAGCTTCCTGCAGGAATTTTTCTGTTCCTACACGAAAAAAAAAAAACGGTTGGCTCGCGCATAATAAAAAGCGGCAATTAAAGTTTTTGGTTGCAATTACCACATAAATGGTTGATCATTTTAAGTAAATTATGATTCGGTGTACCGAATTTTCGTTTCGACAACGGAATCCTTTTACAGTGCGCGCAACTGATGTAGTTGCTATATCAAAGTAACTGAGCCGCATCAACCACACCCATTACTATCACACACAAAGATAGCTTATATCAAATAAAGGTGATGCAACTATTCTGCTCACAATTGAACATTCCTGGTTACGTGCACCATACCATGTTTCTCTCCGCGCGCAACCGAGTTTTCGTCTGATTCCCAGGTAACGGGGAATTCACCTACACTAACAGAGTTGTTTTTTTTCTTCATGTGTGCGTGTGCATATGTATACGTGTATATGTGTTGCGTCGTCTCTCAGATCTCGGCTGGGAACGGATCTCGACTCCTGATAGCCGTTTCCCGAGTCCAAGGTGCACGGAGACGAGATCGAAGAATTACAATCGCCTAGAAACGTCGGTCGGTCGATCGATCGAGGGGTCGCTCCGAGTTCCGTCATGCCGACGAGGCGCGAAACGCTGCGTTAATGACACACGACACTCCCCGTGGAATGTGCACACCGCGTCCGGA